TATCCATGTCATCACAGATACAATGGTGTTTCATTTTAATTGAATTGTAGTTTATCTTTCAAAACTTAAAACTTGAATCATAAAAATTAACTTACAAGACATAAATTGACGTTGTAATTAATGTCAAACGAGTTAATTTCGTGACTCAACTTTTTTAATGCGGTTAAAATTTAATTTGAACGTGTTTTTATAATTATCAGATAAGAGTATTTCCTACTTGAGAAAAGGATTGCTCGACCTTGTTTCCATCGGAGGGGCATTGCCGTGCCCCCAGATCACTAAACTTCGAAACTGGAAACATTAAAAAAACATACAAATAACACACTAACTGTCGCCACGAATTCCGTCCGCATGAAATTAAAAAAAAACTTAATTAGTAGCCTATGTGTTCTTCCAGGCTGTGCTCTACATCTATGCCAGATTTCAGCGAGATCCATTCAGCCGTTTTGGAGATATCTACAAACAAACATACATCTAAACATTCGCATTCATAATATTAGTAAGAATAATATCTGCTATTACGAAGACGTTTAGATTACTTGTTAGGTCTATACTAGACTAAGATTGTCGCAGTTATTTAAATCTCTGTCTAATTTGTCCATAAGTTACTATGACTTTAGTAACTAGAATTATTACGATTACTTTATTATTAAGTTAGAAACCAAACGCGTAACCTTATACGATTAAATTTAACACAAAATGTTTGTGCAAACGAAATTCAACTGATTTTTTTCTTATGTTAATCGTAATAACTATAAACTCGTAATTTAAACTATGATAAATCCTGAAAGCTATTAAATATTGCTTTCTTACGAAGCTTTACAGTTACTCTACACATGTAATAATACAGGCCAGTTTTTACTTTAAAATTTAAATTAAAAAATAAGGAACTAATCGATACAGATCTAAAGATACGTCGTTAAAGTAATTATTTAATGGATTTTAATTACAATTCTCATTTACGATATTTAATTGATTGAAACATATTTTAATATTATGTTTAAAGTCACAGATTAATTATTAACAGAGAGTGCAAAAAGTGTTACGCGTTAAAACTCTGAAAAGATGAAATATACATTCGTATCTGTAAATTGGATATTTATAACTTTAAGATAATCTTATCTTTAATTTCTTCCTTTTTTTTAAGAGCGTCGGTGGCATAGAGGTTTAGAACTTCACTTGTAATGCAGAACCTGGGTTACAATTCCGCCATGTACTAATGTGTTTTTCGATTTACATATAGGAAGGAAACTGTCGTGATGCATCCTGCAATCTGAGGAAAGATTGAACGATGTGTGAAGTCAATCCGCACTTGTTCAGCGTGGTTGATTATAGCCTAGTCATCTAATTTAGGCTAGGCTCTGAGCCCTTTTTTTGTTTCAGAGGGGAATGCTTTAGGCATACTCCGTGCCTCGGGGAAGGCACGGTAGTTATGTGGGATTCTCTTCCCGAATGGGAGCATACCCACTAAACCTCTCTGTTCCCTCATAGCCATAATGTGGGACGCCAAGGGATCATGTTAACTTACCACTGCGACGCCCCACTAAGGCTCTGACCCCTCAGTTGGGACGTATAGTGAGCTGATAATTTTTTTTTAACTTAATACGTGTAAAATCATAATATCTTTGTTTATCAAGATTTATTTTTTTATTTTAAGCGGATTATCTTTAAAAGGTTTCAGGTAGGCTTCACACAACATTAAACAGTAAGATGTACAACTCAAAAACATATTTAACGTCATAAAAATTTACAACCTGTAGCAAATTATACATAACGTATGTATTTTCCTGAAAACATACATTAATTGAAGGTTTTTCTGTCAGAATTTTGACAGTTTTATTTGTATTATGGAAACTGGACAAATACACAAAAACCAGAAGAAAAATATATGTTGTTACGTGTTTTATTTTCCTCTTGTTATAATTAACTATGGGATTGAAATGTTCTTAAGAATAAAGAAACTTAACTTCTACCTGAAAACCTTCGAAAGCGGAATTAAAATCTTACTAATATAAATGCGAATGTTTGGACGTGTAGTTGGATGGATGTTTGATTGAAGGTATTTCCGGATAGCCTAACGGATCTCACATGAGGAGCCTCGGTGGCTCAGTCGTCAAGCACTAGACTTGCAATCTGCAGGTCCTGGGTTCGAATCCCGCCATGTACCAAAGTGTTTTTCGATTTCCGATTTACATATGTACATTTATCCGACGTTCTTACGGTGAAGGAAAACATCGTGATGCAACCTGCACATATCTGAGAAGAAATTCAAAGATATGTGTGAAGTTAACCCGCACTTGGCTAGCGTGGTTGACTATGGCCTAATCACCCTTAACTTAGTGTAGGCTCCGAGCCCCTCGGTGGGGACATATAATGAGCTGATGATGATGATAGCGGATCTCACTGAAATTGGCATAGTATAGGAGAACACATAGGCTACTAATTAGGTTTTTGTTAGTTCCGCGCGAATGGACACGCGGGCGACCGCTAGTCTATGATAAAGCTATGACTTTGCGACGTCTGTTGACACGTGCTACAATTAAAACACTAAATAGGTACTCGTTTATCATTATCAACAAAAAAACTACCAAACCCCGACAACACGCGTAGACACTAGACATGTTAAATATATAAAGATAAGCATTTAACATATTACATCCTTGACATTAGTAGAAAATTGTTGAAACAGATAAATTACAAATCATTAGTTATTTCTCAAGATAATAGAAATCAATATTTTTTATTAGTAAAATTTACTCTGTGGCATTCTTTTTGTATTTGCAATTTCATAATGTAAAAATCTATAAGTTTCCATTGTCTAGAACTTGTATATAATACCTGTATTGCCATCTCTCGATTGCCATATTGTTTATCGGATACTATGTACCCACAATAACGTGGTACCCTGGACTTAATTTCCTGTATAAATAAAGTGTGTTTCGAGCCGATGATTTAGTTATGTTAACACGTTAGCTGCTAGAATGATTTTTCTAAAAGCGAAAAAAATTGACCTGCTGTTTATAAGCTTTATGGGGCCTTGCGAATCACGCAGTCACGCTGTACGCGAGGTGTTGAATGGAAGTATGGCTTGTTGGACATATAGTCCGACATGGCAGCTAACGTGTTAACTTGTACTTGAATCACTATTCAATTACGTGTTCTTTGAACTTAAAACTTGGTTGTTTCCTACAAAACAATATGTTTTATTATTTCTTCAACGATACAGATGCGCGCCACGTGTTAGAGCTATGACCTATTAATGCGATCTAATATCGGCTAAAACAATTAAAAATAATCACAAGCGCGTTTAACACCGAAACTCTTGTACAAACAATATATCGCTATCTCTTTCTTTTGCTTGGAAAAAAACAGAGATGGCTGCACGGGCTATTAGAAGTAGTATTTTGTGCCTATTTGATTTTCGCCATTTTAGCGCTGATTGTAGTGTTTTGTAGCGGTGGTGTAAATTGGAACTAATAATAATAGATATATTAACTGTCAAGTAACATCAATAGGTGCGTTTAAATCGGAACAAAACAAAAGCTGTAATTTTCAAGCAATCGCGTGTCCATTTATAGAGATGCGGGACTTAACAACATGAGAAAAGTGTTAGTCGATTATACGTAGAAGGTGTGTTATATTATAATTTTAAAATATACCTATTCCAAGCTTCAAGGTCGCAGTTTCCAACAGCGATTCCTGCTTTGTTATCTCATTAATATTATAAATACGATAGATCGGATTGCTGTATTTATATTACCAAGTAAATCTAGAATGACTAATGGACACAATTTAAAGCAGATATAGAATAGAATCTTAAAATCACACGAACGAAGTCGCGGGCTAGTGATATACTAACTTTTGTAAATTGACAAGCTTTTCTTATCTCTACTTTTGATATGATTTTTTTTTATAACAGAAGGGGGCAAACGAGCAGCGGGAACACAGAGATGTTCAACGACGCCCATGGACATCAGCAATACCAGAGGAACCGCAGATGCGTTGCCGGCCTTTGAGGTGGTGATAAGCTAGCTTCTTGAAGGACCCTAAGTCGTAGCGGTTTGGAAATACCGCCGAGGACAGACCATTCCACAACGCTGCTGTGCGAGGCAGGAAGTATCGCGCAAACCGCACGGTTGAGGATTGTCAGCCATCGAGAAGAATTGCAATCTCTTAAGCACTATTTTAATACTAGCTACCTCCCGCGACTCCGTCTACACGATTTAAAAAAATCTTAATAAGTAACCTATGTGTTCGTCTATTCTATGTTCTAGATATAAGCCAAATTACAGCGAGATCCATGCAGCTATTCTGAAGATACTTTCAAACTTTCATCCATACATACAAACATTCGCATTTATAATATTAGTAAGGTAAAAGATGAAAGCTTATTTTGTATCCCGGATTGTCATTAGATTACGACAATTTTTGTAAAATTGTGTAATCATAGTTAAACTAATTGAAACCTTAACAACGTTTAATACATTAATTAACATTTTTATTCAATGAATTTATATTGTGACTTCAACATTTATGGAACAGACTGTTTTGTTTAAAAAAAAAATCATCGTAAATTGTTGCGATCGTGTGTTGCGCCATATTTTAAACCAATGAAGTTACTGCGATGTGTTTATAACTAACTAGCTGACGACCGAGACTCCGTCCGCTTAAAAATGAAAGTGTGTGCTCTTCCAGACTATGTTCTACATCTGTTCCAAATTTCATCAAGATCCGATGAGCCGAACATTCTCAAATATATTATTGGTAAGATGACAAGAAGAATGAATAACTCTAGCATGTATGAATGCATAATAACGTGATTTCTCAGAATATTTATCCGTATCACAAGTTTGTTTTGGCTACTATCAATAGCTGATAAACAAACCGCAAGGGATTAACACCCTTATTATCTTACGCACGCGTGTTATTAATATAAAAATCTGAATGAACTTGAAATATTTATGTACAACGACACCTGTGTAAATTAGAATTACACTTACTTGCCTAAATCGATGATGCGAACAAATTAAAAACAAAATAAAATTTTCTTTTCACTGATAAAACACTTCGAAATTAAATAAAAATCACAATTAACTGTATACATGTATGTAAGGTAATTTAACAATTCGTATCTTGTTTAAATATTAAAAATAAAACTTTTCGTATTTTTCAATAAACTTCGATATTTCCGTGTTGGACAAACACACGTCTGTCCCTACCGAATGTGCTGTCAGAACTGGGCTCTGGGCATCATTGTGTAGGCCGCCGTTGATAAGTAATCAATTTGATGTCGAGTGTACACGCCGCTGTCAACATGTCTACCACTAAGGTTTCCAAACTTTATGTTTATGATAATAACAATCTATACATATTTATCATTTCGGAGTGTATGTAATATCTAGAAAATATATATTTCGTACAAGTGATGTATTTACGCTGCTGCTAAAGAAAAATTTAATTTTAACATTTTTGTCTGTGTGTCCGTAAGGCCACGTCTGTTCAGGATAATGTACGAAACGGTGGGACCGATTTTGATGACACTTTGATTAGAAGATAGGTGAAGCACGCGGGCATTTTAGGGTTATTTTTTTCATTCCGCGCTGACGAAGTCGCTGGCGACCGCTAGTTAGAACATATAATTCTTCCGAGACCAACGAGAAAGAATTTTAGCATTATCAATATTTGTATACCATTAAATTTAAGACAGGCATTGGGTACAAAATTGATTTTTTTTATAAAGACCCGACACTTTGGGAACCATTGTCCACGCATGTATTTTGGACACAGACGACTAAATTATAACGCGCAATAGTAAATGTGTAAAAATACGACCATTAAACTCATAAAGTACTAGATCAATTGTAAAGAAACATCAGGAAAATATATTTTGTACCACGTTAGTTCCCTCTGCATTTTCTACCGCATCTACCACGATTCCTGCAGAGTTCCGTCATCGGACGACACAACAGACCGCCAGGTTCCATCCACACCATCTTCCTGCCTCGCACGTGGAATGATCTGTCCTCGGCGGTATTTCCAAACCGCTGCGACTTAGGGTCCTTCAAGAAGCGAGCGTATCACCATCTCAAAGGCCGGCAACGCATCTGCGGTTCCTCTGGTATTGCTGATGTCCATGGGCGTAGTTTAACAACTCCGTGTTCTCTCGATTTTGCTAGTATTTCATTACATCAGGTTAACGCCCTCATAATCCAATAATCTAGTTAATAGTATTATAACAATGAGACAAGTGTTTAGGGCTAAGCAGGATGTTCCTCTTGTTTGATGTACTATTAGGGAATTTCGCGGTGGTGTACATACAGAAAAAAATGCCTTGTTCTTTGCGTAGAGACAAACTCCATTCCTTACAAAATAACCAATTAGATAACAGTGTAAAATGTACATATAGTAATCAATTAGTCGTATACTTATCGACATTATTTTGTATATTATTCATTACAACTTCGTCCTATTGGTTAGTTATCCGCATCGTTGAAGTCGTCGCATCGTACGAAGCGTTTAAACGACTGTTTTAAGGTGGAGCACCGCTAGTGTCCCTAATAGTATTATATCTCAGATTAAATTAATTTCATAACAAAATATTGAATTTAAACAGGTTTAAATTATATTTTTGTTGGGATCAGCGATCTGTTAAGTGTTTTTTTTTGTCTTATCATATCTTAGTAGCTTAGTAAAATCTTAGGTATTGATAAGAAACAATGAACTCCAAAAACGAGATAATCTTCGAGAGATCTTTAAGAGATAGACAAGTTTAAAATACAATTTAAATACAGACAAAACCGTTCATACTGATTTGTAAAATAGTTATATTATACAACTTTCTAACGTTATTTTTTTGTAAGTTTTTCTTGTAATTTTTTTGTTTTTTTTTTGTAAAAATCTGATTTTTTAATGCTTTTTTTGAACAAACCTAATAACTGAGCTTTCATACCTTTGTCTTTTTTCTGATTAATTCACATAAAATATAAGTTGTAGAACACATTCTTAAAACGTATTTCATTCCGCATGCTGTTATTTTTTTTACTCTACAAATTATTTTAAAAACTGTTTAACACATAGGCTGCTAAGTGTTTTTCCGCGCGGGCGACAGCTAATATTAGAATTAGTGAAAAATTTGATGTTTACGGAAGTACTCATGCGTACGCACCTAACCCGTTTTTTAAACTAAATACAGGCTCACATTCAGTGGAAATTAACAAACTTTAAAGACACAAGATGGGCGAAAATAAATCGTACAAAACATATGTAAATTTAAAATATTATGCATATATTATAATTCTTCTGTGAGTGTGTATGTCACTGAACTTCTCTCAAACGACTGGTGCGATTTTGATGAAATTTTTTGTGTGTGTTCAAGGGGATCTGGGAATGGTTTAGATTCACAATTTTCATCAAATATTAACTTCATATTAATTTATTCAAATTAAAGACGTGTAGACAGGACAACGTCTGTCGGGTCCGCTAGTACCTGTATAAAACATATCGTCATCACTGTCATATTCAATTTTAAACGAAGATTTTTGTTTAAGAAACCCTAAGATAGTAAAATTTACTACAAATATTAGTACTCGTAGAACAGACTATTGTTTTTTATCTCATGTATTTAATATAATCGCGAAAAAGCTATTTTCTTACAAGCTTCGAATAAACCATTGGCAGAATGTCAAATAGTCAAGGACGTAACTGAGAAATGAAACAATTTGTCCCATAGACAACATCGTGTTTGATTATATTTACGCAGTTACGAATTTTATATTTAGAAAAATAAATAGGTTTATAATGTTGGTTTCCGAGACCAAAATCTTTGTATAAAACGTCATCATCTCTGTATATCAGGACAAAACAGAAATAAAAATATGTTTTTTACGTTTATTTTGGTCTCAGAAACCGCGGTATAAAAACAACAAGCTATTTATAACACGACACTTGATTTGGCACGTTAAATAAAGGAGTACTCTTGTTCCCTACGAGCCAAGTCAAATGCTACGTACTATATTTTAGATTTTCGTAGTAATTAATTCTATTGGATAGAAATCAGAAAACATTAGACGAAAAAAGGAATCAATTATTAATAAAAACTCATTATTTTTCAAATATTTTATTATAAAACATGATAAAATACTAAAATAATATCTGTGTCGAGACAATTTTTACAATTAGTTATGTTTTTTCACATATTAAGTCCATAATATACAAATAATTTTAAAAACACACATAAAATATAACAAAATAATATATTTAAATTATAAAAAAGTTCCTAATGGCAAACATTAAATTCTTTAAATGTAAGGCAAGAAAGGTAACATGTCAAAGAAAATAATAAAAAAACACTGTTAACGTATTAACGTTAATTTTACAAAAAAATTGAATAAGTACATAAAAATAAATCTTTTAATGATTTCTTTTTCATTTATTTCGTCCAATTATAAATAAAATTATAATAATCATCTGATAAATCACGTAATGTATTACATGCAAATTTTAATACAAAACTCTTATCGTTTGAGTTGGCACGTGACGGACAAGAGTACTCTTGTACCTGACGTGACAACCCAAACATCGCAAACTGCAAATATATTTTTGCATTTACATATTTACTTAATATTAAGTCTAATTATATTTAAAATAGGTAACAAGGCACTTTTTTTTATTTATTTTACATAATTAACACTAGCTGCCATCAGAGATTAAGTACTCAGATTTAGGCAGGAAAAAATACATTTGAATTTGCTAAAAGTATAATATATTTATAATAATAATCTACAAGAAGCAATCTTTAGGTTAAATTGAGTCTTTTAACCAAAGACTATGTAAATATTTATAGTCTATGGTATGCATCAGAGCGTCCGTGGCTCAGTGGTCAAGCACTTGACTTGCAATCTGCAGGTCCTGGGATCGAATCCCGTCACGTACCAATGTGTTTTTCGATTTACATATGTACATTTATCCTATGTTGTTACGGTGAAGGAAAACATCGTGATGCTGCACATATCTGAGCAGAAATTCAAAGATATGTGTGAAGTCAACCTGCACTTGGCCAGCGTGATTGACTATGGCCTAATCACCCTTAACTTAGGGTCCGAGCCCCTCGGTGGGGATGTATAGTGAGCTGATGATGATGATGGATGGATGGTGCATAGATTATAAACTGATAAATGTCAAATCATTACTAAAGTAAAAAAATTGTCAAATTATATATAATATTTGTAATAAAATATTTAAACTTTATGTCAGATTTTTCTATGCACTTGTAACATGTTACATATCTAACTTACTTGTAACATGTTACATATCTAACTTATTTACATAAAACAAGCTAAGTATTTCGCTAATCGTTCTATTAACAAACATATCTGCAAACTTTTACTCAGTAAATAGTGCGACTGATGAAAGTTAAGAGTTTTTAGTTATTTGCAAAGTTCAAGTATCAAAACTATTAGTTCCATCAACACTCCTGATACGTATCTTCCTTCCTTTTCTTACTTCAAGGAATCATATGAGACAAAACACAAAACATTTTTCTAAACTATTCAAAGTGATGTCTATATGTATATAAAAATTTCGTGTCACAATGTATGTTCGCGATAAACTCCGAAACTACTAAACTAATTCTTATCAAATTTTGTAAGCATCTGTAATTTGGTCCAATTTAAGAGATAGGGTAATTATTATCTTAATTATTGATCTAGTTTTCATATAAATATTAATTTTAATATATTTCTGTTGATTTAAATCAGTTTTATTTGATTTGATTTGTTAATTGTGTGTCATAATTTTGTATGTGTGAGTATTATTCAAGATTTTATTGTTTTTTTATGTCAAATTAAATATAAAAAATGGTCAACTTATTTAGAACATATTTACAAGATGTCTACTTAAATTATGTATGAAAACTAATCTGCAAGTAACAAAAAAAAATCTTAATTTCAATAAAATCGCACAAACTCTTTGTAAATACTTTTCTCAACTTAATTATTATTGTCAATTGAAAGAACACCCCGACCGTTCTCATTGCCAAGACATTTGTACAAAATCTGTGAAAGTAACATAGCTAAATAATTTTTATAAATGTTTTGTCAATGGAAACGCATATCTTATTATAGTTAATGCATTCGTTGCGCTATATTTGGTTCGTTCACGTACCGACACGTGCTACCGGTCCAAAGGTCTAACATCGAGTGACGGCATGTACTGATGGCATATACGCTCGAGACAAACAACACTACGTTTATGCATACACTACAGTTAATATATAATATTATTTATTAAAAGCCATATTTAAGTTAAATTACATCGTATAAATTATAATTTTCATACATAAAAAGGAATGACAAATTAAAAAAAAATTAAGTCAAAAATAAATTCACTAAATAATTTCCACTGTGGATTTCCAGTGCAATAAAACATTGTCAATATCACTGCAATGAAAATCCACGGCAAAATACGTCAAATAGTAATATTGATTTAGTCACAATTTATAGCTAAAAAGTGTAGTATTTAAGTCGGCACGTCAGGCAGAAGATTTTTCTTGTAACCGACGTGCCAAGTCAAATTTGCTTTTATAGGATATTGTCAGCGGGTTTCCTCAGGATTGTTAGTTTCGTTGAGTATGGGCGCAGTCTCTGGTGATTTCAGTAGTTTCCTCATTAAGTACGCAATACCCACTATCAGTAAGAGAATGCCGATTGCCTGAAATATAAAAAAAATGATATTTAGCACTGGGTCAATAAAATCAATTAAACAAATTCACTACAAAACTTTGACATTTCGAACAATACGAATCGAATGATATCTCACTCGTCAAAATCAGTTCAGCCGTTTAGGATATAAGGTCACATTGGAAATGACATTAATTAAATGAATCTTAGACAATTTTAGCCATTACACTCAATTTATTTAGCTATGGGACTCAATTTATAGTTATGATTGCTCAATTTTAGCTATTAAACTCAATTTTTGGCTAGATTATTTGTATCTATGTTAGCTCAATTTTAGCCATTAGACTCAATTTTTTGTTATTTATAAATCTCAATCTATACCTATAATTGCACAATTTTAGCCATTAGACTCAGATTTTAGCTTTCAGACTGGAGTATAAGACAAGTGTATGGGGGACTCACCGTGAGCGCGTAGAAGCCATAGGGCATGCCGTCGCGCAGGTTGAGCGCGAAGCGAGCGAGCCGCGCGTAGTCGTCACTGATGCGCACTTCTTGTCGGAACCAGAACATCGGCACCAACGTGTCACCATCTGGTAGCTGGTTGTTCAACCTGCCACAGACAAAGGGTTTGGCTTCATATAGTACAGTGGAGCATAAAAGTGTTAAATTTTGTTGTGTTTAGTGGTATATAAGTGTTTTGTTTTGAAATGTACAGTGCAGCACAAAAGTGTTTATTTACAAAAAGTTACATTGTATTGTTTGTGCTTAGTGTTTAAAATAAGCATACAAATGTTTAGTTTTCGTATGCACAGTCGAGTACAAAAGTGTTTAATATTTAATTGCATAATTGAGTACAAAAATGTTTAGTTTTAAAATGTACAATCGAGTACAGTCGTGTAGAATGTGTAGATGCAGCAGTGTGCGGGGTGTACTCACGAGATGCCGGGCACGTAGCGCACCAGCATGTTGATCTGCAGCTGCGCGAACACCTGCAGCGGCATGCCTGTGTACATCTCCAGCGCCAGACGGAACTTGTACTCGCTGCAATTTTATAACACACAATAATTAGTAATACTATCTCTTCATTCCAGTGAATGATGCATGAATAGGCCCGGCTCGCCCGGTGAAATACCACCACCACACAGAAGACAGGCGTCAAGTAGAAGCTATTCCGCGTACAGTCTGATGAGTGTGCGTCCCGGAGGCCTAATTTAGTCCTCTTTCCCTTCCCATCCTTTTTCTCATAAGGAAATGATGGGAAGTGGAAGTGTACATTCCGGATGAGAGGATGCATGGAAAGGGAAAATATTTTCTTTCTGTGCATCCTCTCCTCCGTCGATTAAAGGTAGGTAACGCATATGCAATTGCGTATGTCTATGGCAACGGTCACTTCGCTATTTTAGCGATTTCAGGTGACTACTCGCTCGTTTGTCACCTTATGATATAAAAAAAAACATTTTACAAGAAATGTAATGTAACTCACTCGTTAGGCTCGAGTCCGTCGATCTTGTCCGCGTAGTGAGAGTCGACACCGAGGAAGTGCGGCAAAGTGACGAAGGCGGGGGAACCGAACCGGCACGCGGACACGTTCAGCGCGCCCGCCGGCAGGCAGTTCTCGTCCCTCACCTCGTCACAGTAACACGCCTGACAGATAACAATACATTTTTACTTTTTTATTACATATATTGGCAGATATATCATAATCATACTTATATTATAAATGCGAATGTGTTGATGGATGAATGTTTGTTGGAAGGTATCTCCAGAACGTCTATATGGATCTCGATGAAATTTGGCATACATATAAAACATAGTCTGGAAGAACACATAGGCTACTAGGCGACAGAGTCGCGGGCGACAGCTAGTTCAAAAATTTAGTCGTTCTAGGTAAGCTAAGGTTTGCTAGGTTCCCAACAGTCAAATAGCGGAATTCGAACTTACGACCACTAGGTCTAGAGTCCGTACCATAAAGGTTCGTTTACACATAATACGCAAAACGCTCGGTAGTCACTTCAGAGCGAGACAAACGTATAGAAATACAATACGTCTCTCTCCCTCTGAAGGAACTGCCGACAATTGTTCGTACGATTGCAACTTATGTTTAAACGAACCTTTTAAGTGCAGTCAGGGCATACGAGAATACGGATAAATCGGCATTTGAAATGAAAAGAATTATTATTATGCGTCTTACTATTTGCATCGGATGGATCTAAGACATTTACTAAGCTATCTTTCTACATCACCACTTAACATGAGGTGGTCAAAAGCTAGTTTTAATCACAAATAAATTTATTACGTTTAATATTATAGTCTTACCATGCTTGGGTATTTGTGTCCATTGTCAAATGTGGAGTCGTTTGTTGAGTACTGCATTCCTTCTATTCCTTCCACTGTGAGTGGTCCCGACTTTGATAAGATTAAATATCTGGTGGAAAGAGATGCAAAAAAATTTAAAATAAAGAAATCAAATTCACTACTCAATTGTTGAAAAACTCACGTGCAGAGATCAGAGGAAAAGACGACGAGCTCTTCCTGGCCGAGCTCAGGCGCCCACAACTCGCCAGTGGAGCCGCGCACTTCGCCGCAATGGTCTCGATACATGGTGCGATTCGAATGCCGCCACATCTCTACGTTGCCCAGCTGTGAGAAGTCCGCGGTACCCGTGTTCATTACGAACACACCATCGTATTCCTTAGACTCGTTACGCTGGGAATGTCAATAAAACACTTAACAAATACACACTGAAAATGTCTAATCCTTTAGTTAATATTCAAGTGTGAATAGAAACACTTTCTTTTAATTACCACAAGACAAGTCATAAAACAGTTTGATAAAGATCTTGTGGTTTTTTACATTGACATTTGCACTTTTGAGCTATTAATTTTGTTTTACTATAGTCCATTTGGTGTAATTTGAATGTCATACAAGTGTGCAACATTATGTAGTTGTTCCAAGCTGATAAGTGTCTGTTGCTTCTATCGTAATAAATAGGACGTCAATATTAGTAGACTTTTTCCACTTCCTATGATAACGCTACTCTCACACCACTGAGAGACAAACAAAATAATAAAATTTAATAGATTGTAAGTATCGATATTATATTTTCGGAATCAACGGTCTAGACTCTAGATAATTATATAGCCAGTGAATTTAATTTATTAAATTACTGGTTTAATTGTAGGTTTCTGAGACCGAAAACCCCGTTTAAAATGATCTTTTGTATCTGTTTTGTCAAAGATAATGACAGGGTGACGATATATTTTATACATCGATTTAGTGTTGAGTGCAAAATTGAACATTCTGCCAAAGTGGCATACTGTCCATTGAACCTTTGCCTTTTTTATGAAAAAAGTTAAGTGAACATAGAGAAGAGAAAAGCGCGGGAAGTGTCAACCACGAAATGTAGTTATGAATTGAGTTAGTAGGAATTTAAAATGTAAATTTGTAAAAAAGTTAATTAGGATTTTAAAAACATTATAAACGTATTTCGGCTGCCGTGATGCTTTTTTCAATTTTTACATTGGTACCAACGGTTAGTGCAAAATATCGTTATATTGGTATTCTTTCCAGAAGTAAGTGACTTTTTTTATTTCATTTCTAGTTTGATGTTTAGTTAGTTTAGTATAATAGTAATCGTGACATTACTTGCGTGTTAGTATTTTCCCCGAACGTCGCGTGTTACGAAAGGAAAGCGCTGAGGTGGAATTGGAAAAGAGTTCGTGAACACAGAACATACATACGACAATTATAAAAGTAAATAAAACGAAGAAATTTTCTATCTTATAAATGCAAATGTTTGGATGAATGTTTGTTTAAAGGTATCTCCAGAACGGATGAACGGATCTCGATGAAATTTGGCATAGATGTAGAACATTGTCTGGAAGAACATATAGCCTAGTAAGCTTTTTTTTATTTATTTTATTAGCATCTAGAAATGTAATAAAATTATTATTATTAATCCACTTCAGAGTATCGTAAAGTCAGTCTGTTTTATTGCATTCATATTACCATAATTATTGTTTTTATTTTTATTAAAATTTTTACTTTTATAAATCAAACCAGCTAACGCCTGCGACTCCATCCGCGGGGAATGGCAAAGAGAAAACTTATTTAATAGCCTGTGTGTTCTTCTAGACTATGTTCTACATCTATGCCAAATTTCAGCGATATCCATTCAGCCGTTGTAACAAACATCCATTCATCCAAACATTCGTATTTATAATATTAGTAAGATTAAGATTTTCGGAAATTCATTATATATTTTATGATACCGAGCTGCATGTAACATGATGACTTTAAAATCCAATACAATTAAAATGCAAATTTATTTCCAAAATTTCGATTTTTCTGCATAAAAATGAATCTATTGGCATTTTTAATAACAATTATACTGAAATAAAGTGTGTCATCTTTTTAAATAACGACACATAATTTACATTTTAAATTCAGATAAATTCCATGAATTTATAAATAAATGCCAGTAAAATAATTACGCAGAAATAATCAAATTATTATTTACTTTTGGGGGCGGTTAACAATACGATCTTTACTTTAGCATTTAAAAAAACTTTCGCACATTTTAACAGTGGTAGAGCCCGCATTAACATCGCACGAATTGTCCCGGTTCGCCCGGTGAAATACTACGACCACACAGAAGACTAGCGTGAAGTGGAAGCAATTCCGCGTTTCGTCTGATTAGTGTGCGTCTCGGAGGCCTCATTTAATCCTCTTTCCTTTCCCACCCTTTTTCTTTTAAGGAATGGATGGGAAGTGGAAGTGGACTTTCCGGATAAGAGGATGCATGGGAAGGGAAAATATTTTCTTTCTGTGCATCCTCTGTGCAGCCATCAGTCTACATTCCCCCGAATAACTTAAATTATCGTTAAAGAACCGTAATTATAAGTTAACTACTTGACCTGGGACTCCGTCCGCGTAAAATTAAAAAAAAAATAGTAAACTTAGTGTTCTTCTAAACTATGTTCTACATCTATGATCAATTTAGCGTGATCCATGCTATCACTGTCTATAGAATCGATAAAAATTTTATAGGTATAAAAACTACATGGAAATACTAATGCAATATTCATACATACAAATAGATAACCCAAAAATTATATCACATGTTAATAAACATTCATTTTAGAATAAAAAAACTAGCACTAATTGACTAGTTTCATAATGCTGTTTATTTCAAACAAGCTGTCACCCGCAACTCCGTCCGCGCGGAATAAAAAAAATTAAGTATTAGCCTTAGACGTAGGAAAAAATCGTGGCTACGTAATATTAGGGAGTGGACGGGTGTTAGGTCAGCGGAGGAACTGTCTCATCTTGCACTTGACAGAACCAAATATTCCAAATAGCGGCCAATCTTCAAGACTGAAGAGGCAATAAAAGAAGAAGTATTAGCCTATGTGTTCTTCTAGACTATGTTCTACATCTATGACAAATTTGAGTCAGATCCATGACGCCGTTCTGACAAAAACATCCATCCAAACATTCGCATTTATAATATTAGTACGATTATTCATTGTACCATTTCTAGTATCCTTGGGTAATGGGTACGTGTTATACAATAGGTGAAAGTTAGCAAATACGTAATAACTTGTTGCAATCCACGTAATGCATAGCGTTAGTAATGCATAAATTGTATAGTCTTATACAAACTTTATGTCGGCTCGGAAAATCACATTGACCTCACTACACAATTTATGTATAAACAGGATATAAACGGATGTGTGGAAGAACCCACTAATGCGAGAAAATCTTTCAAAGATATAGAGGAAGACAGGGTTATATGTGGGTTATGAACCACTAAAGCCTTCTCGGTAGCACTGTGGTACTGGTATTATCTCGCGGACGCGGCACGTCGCTCACTCAACCTGATGAAGGGCCCCCGATGGGCTCGAAACTAGTCGGTGCCGCCACCGGACGAATATACGTGAGTGTTTAGCCGTGTTTATATATCAGTTTAGTATAATGTCTCACGAAAGTTTGAATAATTGAAGAGAAGATAGTTTCGGGAACCGCTTTCACCCCTAATTGATCGACACAGACATGCGTAGTTACACAAGCCAACATAAATTTTGAATCTTGTAATAACATACTTCTTGGAATTTAATGACTTTAAAAAATATAATCTGTCGAATTACACAACAGATTAAACACACACATTGATAATTAGACTCAAAGTCCAAACATTTATAAATATATTTATCCATTTTAATGAGTCAACGCCGGATACGTGGAATAGTGTTGTTCTAGTGAACTATTGAACTTTAAGAAAAAAAGATAAATATGAATCAGTCTTAATAAATCCAATTTGGTAACTACAAATTGTGGGATCCGTTTAGCTCTTCGAGATACCTAATAACATCCATTCAAGTCATCATCATCATCATCATCATAATCATCAGCTCGCCATACGTCCCCACCGAGGGACTCGGAGTCTACCCTTAGTTAAGGGTGATTAGGCCATAGTCGTCACACATATCTTGGAATTTCTTCATATGTGCAGGTTGCATTACGATGTTATCCTTCACCGTAAGAACGTCGGATAAATGTACATAGGTAAATCGGAAATCGAAAAACACATCGGTACATGGCGGGATTCGAACCCAGGACCTGAATATGCAAGTCAAGTGCTTGACCTCTGAGCCACCTACGCTCCATGCAACTAAACATCCGTATTTATAATATTAGTAAGAAGTAAGATTAAACTATAATAATGACGTAAAATATTTAACTAATATTTTCTATTTATCAACGTTATGCTCTGCGCCTATCAACAAACAATTGAACAAAATACAATACAACTTTATCTACGGAAATTGTCGCTACGACTGGATGTATGTAACATCCTTATCAAAATGTTTATGTTTATTTTAATAGTAAAAACGAGATTGTTGCAATTTGATATTTTCAAAATGCCGAACTGACATCTACAAAAAGTTGAAGACCTCTGACCTATAATTAAAAATGAAATGTCTACATATCTACGCCAATGTTCGGAAGTATCATATGATTATCGCACATATGTACATAACTAACAAGGATATCTGATGCCGTGGACGTCATTCAAACTAAATTATGACATCGCACTAATGCACTCTAGTAAAAATAGTCAAGTTTCTTTTCATACTGTGGCTATCATGTCCCGTTTTGTTATCTTACTAGCTGTCACCCGCGACTCCGTAGGCGAGGGATTTAAAAAAAAAGTTAATAAGTAGCCTACATGATCTTCCAGGCTATGTTCTACATCTATGCCAAATTTCAGCAAGATACATACAGCCGTTCTGGAGATACCTTCTAACAAACATCCATTCCTCCAAACTGATATAAAAATGGCTAAACACTCACGTATATTCGTCTGGTGGCGGCACTGAGTGTGCGACGGGCCGCGTCCACGAAATAATACCAGTACCACTCATCCTGATGAAGGGCCCCCGATGGGCTCGAAACTAGTCGGTGCTGCCACCGGACGAATATACTTGAGTGTTCAGCCTTTTTTATATCAGTTTAGTATAATGTCTCACGAAAGTTTAAATAAGCCATTCCTCCCTCCATCCACACATTCAAACATTCGCATTTATAATATTAGTAAGAAAAGTAAAACAGTAAGATTATATTTGATATGAAGGATAGAAGCTGCTGACCCTACATGGTTAGAATAAAGGATGATGATCCCTAATTATAAATTTAAACATATTTACATCCAACCATGTCACAGAAATACAAATGCTATTCATATTTAGATACATCTTTAACATGGTTAATGATATAAACAAAAATGATTAAAACATTTATTTCGCAATCTATCAACTTATAAGATTAGTGAGATTATAAACTGATCACGTTTACAATCTAACGGTGACATGCAATTTTTGGTCGTTGTTAGTCATACATGAAATTACAAAAAAAATGACATGACAGCCACAATACCAAAAGTAACTTGTGACACTTTTTTTTGACATTGACATCCTTCAGAAAATCAGATTTCCTTGTCAGTCTGTTAAACTAAGAATATGACTAGACTAGCTGTCCGTTATACACGTAAGGAACAGAAAATGTATGTAGCTGTATCGCTCACTCTCGAACAAATTACTATAAGTATCACTCTCTTGCACAATAAGATGCGTATGTCTATGGGCAACGGTCACTTCGCTATTTCAGCGATTTCAGGTGGCCGCTCGCTCGTTTGCCACCTTGTGATAGAAAAAAAAGATGGCGGCGATTTTTGTCTCTAGTATTCTGTCGTCTGTAAAACAATGGGGTTTGACTGCAGTAACTGTCATGACACATGTCATCCCTTACATTTAATTTGACTTTTGTCAAACATGTGTCATGACAAGTCACAGCAAAATATGTCAAATGATTTCAGATTACAGGTAATCTGAATATTTAATCTAAGTTTTATGATATATGTATTACGTATTAATATATTGATATATGAATATGATAATATAAAACGCATTTATGATAAGTGATAAAATACAAGATATTTTGCATAACTGCATTTAAATACCAAATGTATATACATATTTATAAAATTTTAGTGTATATAACATTTCCTAAATAAGATATATTTGCGTTGTTCATAATGAATAACCAATTTTTAAACTTAAGTCTGTCTTTTTTTTTATAAGAGAAGAACACCGAGGTGATCAACGACACCCATGGACATCAGCAACACCAAAGGAACTGTAGATGCGTTGTCTGTCCTCGAATTCGCGTTTATAATCTCCGGAACGGTTAAATTTTGTCGGAACTTTGACGGGAACGTAGTTTATACATTCGGGTATATTATAGTTTTTTCTGCTAGTATTACTAATATAAATGCGAATGGTTAGAATGGTTGGATGGATATAGAAGAAATTTGAAATAGATATAGAACAGAACGTGGAAAAGTAAGAGGTAAGTGGTAAGTTTTTTTCAACTCCGTGAACGTGAGTTACGGGCAAAGGCAAAGTTAATACTAAAAAATCAAGTAATAGCTTTTAGTTAATGCATATAATATCGTTGTAGTCTGTATTTCAATGGGCAGAAAAACTGAAAGCTTTAAGCGGCACTAGCGTCAAGAGTGGCCTGTCATCTGTCAGTTTTATCAAATCATTTTTGCGATTTAAAAAATGTATTACTTTGTTATTTTTTCTTATAGCGTGTCCGTTTAAGATAGATTAGTTTGACAACTGACGCCTATGTAGTATAGAATTAATTTTGTATGAAGATTAATGTTTTATTTAATGGACGGTAGTTATAGTGTCGGACCGTACGAGCACAACGAATAATACGAACTATCGGTTACTATAATTTAGGTGTTTTATACCTTTTTGAATTTATTACAGTTATTTGACTATGTATCGTACAATTAATAACAAAACTAAATAATCTAACTAAAAATCTGTGATATATTCCTGTCACTTTTGATGATGTTGACATCTAGTGAACTAAAGCCAGTTTTCCAGCTGTACGTTAAAAGAATAGTATCATCAGCTCGTATACATAAACCAGGAGCTAGAGAATCTGGAGGTGCATTCTGACAAACATCTATCAAAACATTCGCATTTATAATATTAGAGTACGTGGATGATTATTTTTTTTTTAAATTGTGTTTTTTGGAAATTATATTTAAGCACGAATTAAAATGATGAAATATGAATAATATTTTTCGATCTTACCGATAGAAAAAGTTAAGTTTATGTTTAAGTTGATTATCGATAAAACACGAATAAAATTACATTTTCTAAAAATGATTCCTAGCTAGATCGATTTATCGCCGCCGAAACCCCCTATATACTAAATTTTATGAAAATCGTTGGAGCAGATTCCGAGATTCCAATTATATATATATTTATATACAAGAATTGCTTGTTTAAAGATATAAGATATTTCTATTTTTATATACCTGACCATGATTATTAAAACATCGATTATTTATTTATTAATTTTAATTACACGAGATTTGCTAAAGATATATTCTTTGATTATAAACTTCCAAAAAGGTTATGCCAAAATTATAACATGCATATAAAATGTCGACTGACCAGTTTGTATGCATTGAAGTAATGAAATTATTTATTTTAACTAAGACCAGACGAAGTCTGTATATCCAGTTATACGTTTAGTGTATACGATTTATTATGTTGTTCAAAATACGTCAGACAACTTAATTATTGTGCTTAATTAATTGGATAATCAATTTTCAGTACATTCCCATGGAAATATATTAATTAAAAACATAATATAAACGAATGGTTAACATCCTATGTATAATTAACAATAATCGTTACGAAATATTTCATGCATTCATTAAATAATCTTATCTAAATTCGCTTAATTTATCAAAAAAATATAGGTACATAGGGCACTGGATAGTAAATGTGCTTTATAAAAATTGGTCGTTTGTTGGAAGACGAAAATATCTGTAATCTTCAACAAAACATAAATAATATGTGTTAATAGGGATTTTCGTTTCAGAAACCTACAATAAATTGATCAAATGTACAACACCAAATAGTAATAAAAGATAATTAAAATTAACACTTACCGAATAAAACCATCCAAATCTATCGAAAGGTATTTCGAAGGGCAGGTCAGGGAAGTGAGCGGCGATGTCGAACAGAGGATCCGTGATGCCGTCGAACAGCCAGGACGACACGTTGGCGGTGAGGAAGAGGTTCTTGTGGTTCATACCCATGAACACGTTGACTGCTACACGCATGAACAGCGGCTCGTTGCGCATTATGTGACCCACAGTCTGACAAACAAACATTATAGTTGATAGTGTGTACAGTAGGCCAAACTTCAGTCATCTTTCTTTGAGGGAAAGACGGGAAAAAGATTTGGAGATAAGGGTCTTATTGGAAATACAAATTATCACTGCTGTACGTCCCCCTTCGGTGGCTCAGTGGTCAAGCACTTGACTTGCAATCTGCAGGTCCTGGGTTCGATTCCTGCCACGTGTTCTTACGGTGAAGGAAAACATCGTGATGCAATTTGCACATATCTGAGAAGAAATTCAAAGATATGTGTGAAGTCAACCAAACCGCAGTGGGCCAGCGTGGTTGACTATGGCCTAATCACCATCAACTTAGGGTAGGCTCCGAGCCCCTCGGTGGGGACATCTAGTGAGCTGATGACGATGACGTCCCCTTTTTTCATTTAAAGTAGGCATCATTCAAAAGTTGACCAAAATCAATGAGTTGTTTTTAAGCTTAAATAAAATGTGTATGTACTCACCACAATAATGGGATTGATACTGGTGATGTTGTCAGACACGCTGCCATTGGACATGTCTGGCTGGAAGTGCCACACGCGCCGGTTGTAAAACGTCACCGTATTGTTGTCGTTCCATGTTATGTCTTCCTGGTACCAACATACAACAAATGTTAAGTGTAAGGCTAGAATTCAAATCATCCGTTAAACCATGACTTAACAACGATTCTGAGTTTGGTTTCTGGTATGACAAATTGTGTATAAAATTATCAGAGTTAAGTCGCGATAACCAATAATCTAGAATATTAAGTTTTCACTTTAATCAGTAACTTACTTAAGTAATGTTCAGAAACCCAGAATACTATGCTTTACACCTATCTTTTATATGTTCGTGGTATTTTACAAGTCAATACACTGTTCATATATAAGTACGTAAGCAGTATCTTGACAATAATTTAACATAGCATCGTCCCTCTCATACGCGTTTCTCTCTCTGTCAAAATACAGAGCTAACTATGTTTTTTGTGGTAGAAATTTACGGAAATTGTAACAAAAAGTGAGTCTTGTATCGTGTATAATCTTATATCTTTAAATGAGCAATTCTTGTATATATATAATTGGAATCTCGGAATCGGCTAAAACGATTACATAAAATTTAGTATATAGGGGGTTTCGGGGGCGATAAATCGATCAGGCTAGGAATCATTTTTAGAAAATGTCATTTTATTAGTGTTTTATCGATAATCAACTTAAACATAAACTTAACTTTTTCTATCGGTAAGATCGAAAAATATTATTCATATTTCATTATTTTATTAGTAATTCGTACATAAATATAATTTCCAAAAAACACAATTAAAAAAAATACCGAGCAAAGGTCGGTCATCCAGGTATATAATACTAATTATAATTATAGCATATAGAGTAAAATTGATAAGAAAAATCTTATCAAAATATAGAATTTGGAAAGATTAATTTTGAGCATATTTTCTGATCATTATTTCAAGGTCAAAGTCTTGATAATTTTAAAGCTATAAATTCTATCAGTCTCAAAATTATTGCCAGTTAATAAATTAATGAAACTGCTTTTAAATATGTTTTTATTTTGGGAAAATAACCAAAAAGAACAGATAAAACTTGATAAGAGAAGATAAGACCTCAAAATTGAGATGTAACTTGAAACGACACGATAAATATAATTTTGAAATACAACAAAAAATAGCCTACATATCAGAAATAGTTGTTTGTGCAAGTTTGCTTTATGCAAAACATGGTCGAAATTAGAAGATATAAAATATATATTAAATAAAATTAACATAAAATACACATATGGTTTTTTTATAGTAACAAAAAAAGCAGACAGCAATTACAATTTCCACTTTGGCCTTGGCATATCTATTATGCCAACATACATTTTTATTTAACAAATTAAAAAGAGTTTAAAAAATATTTTGACGTCTTTCGTCAGTGGAAGCTTACGTTTATATTCTCGTGGGAACTAAAGACATCAATGTATTTATAATTAATATAATTTAGGAGGTTTTTATTTAAATTATTCCTTTATAGACAAGATTATTGAAAACTATTAAAATTTTTCTGATTTCTACGTAAATTATTACAATGACATGTTTATGTTAAAATATTTATCTCAATTTAATTAATCGTCAGTAAATCGCACAACTGTGGAAACCCACGGTTAATAGACATTTTTCTTGTATTGTATAGCATATTTTTATTTTGTAGAACAATAATTTCATAATATGGCAACACTGAGGTTAAATTTATACTAAAAATAAATTAAATAGTAAGTCAAGATAATTTGAGGTAAAAAAATTACAAGTTTTGATCGTTAATATGACTTTTCTACCACAAAAAATCTTACTAATGTCATATTATATAATCGCGCATCGTGAGAAGGTTCCTGTCTCTGCAGCCCTGACCACTGGGATGTTTGAGTCATGGGATTTCGCAGCCGGTGGTGTTCTGTTGTTAATATATATATATATATATATATATATATATATATATATATATATATATGATAAATAAATTTTTATTAATGCGAATTTTTAGATGGATGGATGCTTGTTTGAAGTTATATCCAGAACGGCTGCATAGATCTTGCTGAAATTTGGCATAGATGTAGATCACAGTCTGGAAGAACACATAGGCTACTAATTGAGTGTTTTAATTCCGCACAGACGGATTCGCGTGCGAGAGCAAGTTGAACAACAAATAATTAAATGTAATCATTTAATTACCGTTGAACCTGACAGTTGCTGAATAATTAATATTATTGTTTAAATTGGAAATTGATTTAAAACAAAATAAATTTATATAATAATAAATCTGTGACCCCTACCATCGTATCTCGAATGTTAAAACTAAACAAATAACATAGCAATTATACTTTTATCAATTTACAAAACGTACAAAGTAACTAAATGTTGCATCGTTCAGTGGTTGCAAGTCCTCAAGCGGTCAATGATTCGAATCCTATTATTTCTTTACCGAATTACCTTTTCCCGACTAAGGTTTATATATTGTTGTCTCTTTTTTATTAATGAGAATAAAAGGGATGACGTTATTTTTTAATACAAGAGAGCATTGTTTCTCTCTAGATTCTACAAACGTGTGTCGTTATATGTATGTTTTTATGTATATTTCGTAAACTGTGTTGTCGCTTATATTATGTAAAACATGTATGAAACAATACATGATTTAATAAACATAGGTATTATAACGTTCAACTCAATCACAATAAGATAATTATAACGTTGCTATAATTTCTATATTGATAGAAAGAGACAATTCATTACATTTGGCTTCGTAGAGCGTTATCTCTGTCGAAGAATTGCCTACACTCAACACGGATTATGGGTGCGTGCGAGCGTGTGTGTGTTTCTACTATCTTAGAAAATTTATTATAGAAATGTTAAATCATTTACCGTTTATTTCTGAGACGAAATCTCTGTATAATATATCCCTGTCATTATCTTTGACAAAATATAGATAACAATCGTTTGGTATCAGAAACCCAAGGTTAATCGTATAATATGTAATTGTAAAGCTGGGTCTACAATATCACAGCTAACGACAGTTTTTGTGCAAATCCAGTGTTATCTGTTAGGTCATGCATCCATATCAATGTTTTGATAATATTTCGTCGAAATTGTTGGACAGTACTGAATAATTTGAGGGCATCGACTTTACGGATTTTTTATACTTAAAATGACTTACAAAGCTCAACTTCGTGATTACCACTTTGTTATAGATTGAAAAAAATGCCTTTCAGACATGGAATGAGTGTGTCGGGCTCAGACTTACTAGTGTGCACCTAACCTAAGTCTCGTTACCGACGAAGAGAACTCTCTCTATGGACTTTTTTGTACATTCGGGCTTACTGTCAGCTTACTTCAACAGTGGTAGAGCACGCTTTAACATCTTCGCACGAATTGTCCCGGCTCGCCCGGTGAAATACCACGACCACACAGAAGACAGGCGTCAAGTGGAAGCAATTCCGCGTACAGTCTGATGAGTGTGCGTCCCGGAGGCCTAATTTAGTCCTATTTCCCTTCCCACCCTTTTTCTTATAAGGAAAGGGTGGGAAGTAAGGACTTTCCGGATGAGAGGATGCATGGGAAGGGAAAGTATTTTCTTTCTGTGCATCCTCTCATCTGTCGGGTAGAGGTAGGCAACGTATATGCAATTGCGTATGTCTGTGGGCAACGGTCACTTCGCTATTTCAGCGATTTCAGGTGGCCGCCCGCTCGTTTGTCACCTTATGATATAATATAAAAAAAAGCTATTATTATAAGTGAATGCCACGTCGACTGCATATAGAAGTTATAAAATGTAAACTTACCTTAGTATGTTGTTCTCTAAACACGTAAGGTCCCAGCTGCTCGACTTTCAGCGTGACATTCTTACCGGCGAGAATTTCATCCACGTTTGTAATGTTAAACATATAGCATTCCAAATACATCGGTATGGGCACCTCTCGCCATATTGAGAACGAAGTTGACGTCTTTGTTAGCATCATCATCTGTGTAAACCAAATTATAATTAGAAAAAAAAATGATTGCGGCAACACCAACCCCGGAAGTGCATGGCCAGTACACGCGACGTGATGCATTTCGACCTTTTTAGTTCACTTTTTTTTTAAATTTTTCAGTAATTTTAAAATCTATTCTCGTCTGCCAGTGTCACGAAATAGCATCAACACTTTTTTTTCTTTTATAAAGTCAACATTACTCAAATCATAAGATAAAAACTTATCGAAGAATTTCTTTGCACAACACAACTAACGACTCGCAGAAAAAAATGCATTAACCTTTTATAGCGTCATATTTTAGAATATACTTGATATTAAGTGCAAAAAAAAAATTACGGATTTTCAAATTCCATGTTTTTCTAAACATGAATTTTATTACCTACTTCCATTTTATGTATTGTGTTCTGATAACACTGCCTATGACACTCATGGGATTAAATCGAATGACACGACGCATCAATTACTTCAAATGTTTAAACTAGTTTTACCGTGGTGAAACCTACATAGCAAAAAAATTACCCTATTGTGATTCAAATAAAAATATTTCTACAGATACATATAATTATTACATCGTATTAAATCTAGATCGAATAGATATTTTCTAATCTGAAATTATTCATAATTAAGTCAAAAGCAAGGTCTGCGTATGCACACCCACTTTGTCTATGTATGTTTAAATATCACTTTGGATTATGATAATTTTATATTTTTGATAAATAAATGCAAATATATCTGTATATAAGCTTGCAACTAGATAGGTAAATAAAAAATCCGTGATATGAATAATAAAGCAAAATTAATCCTTGCATAATAGTAAATTGCACGCGCTAAAGTCGTGAATTTAATATGTAAAAATTATTTTATTAATTTTAATAGTTATTAATATATGAATTATAACATAATTAATATATTCAACATCTACTGCTGTTATCACCAATTAATTTATTTTGATTTTTTGATACATAAATATATTACAACATTTAAAAAAGCGTCAATAGCCTAATGGTTAAGGGTACGGATTTCCGACCACGAGGTCGGGGGTTCGAAACCCGACATTCGACTATTGTCGTAAACCATATCCTAGCACAAGCCTAGAGCTTAGTTGGAATGGTTAAAGAAATATTAGTTAATTTACAAAAAAATCTGCTATTATAATATTTTTATAAAAAAAAAAATAAAACAAAAATAGAAGCGATGCTATTTTAAGTTAATGTTTTAATGTATGTAAGTCAATATTCTATATAGATATAGAAGGATATCTGACCCGGTGGGCTATAAGTCAAACTAAATTATAAAAGCACACTAACGCCATCCCAATCAATGTCAAAATGTCACAAGTTTTTGTCGTACAGCCGCCAATGATCTCAGTAATGGATAGGTTAGATGATTAGGATAAGACTTAATAGCGTCTATCGGTATTCCAGACCGTTAATTATACCATTATTATTAATTTGTATCCTCACAACCGCTACCAACCTCTATTATCTGCGCTAAAATGGTGAATGTCGAACAGGCACAAAATACAATGTCTTAATAGCCCCTATCTATTTATGTAGATCATTGAATATAGCTGCCGTGTTTTTTATGGCATTGTCTACACCTAAATAGGTTTTATATATTATATGATAGAAGTAACCGCAATAGCAGCGCCATTGTTACTAGGCAAATTATCAATGTTTGAATGTAGCATTTATTTTTAAGCACGTTGCTCGTTTTTTTTTTATACATATATAGCTAGTTTGTTTTATTCAAACGAACAGAAAAGCTACGAATTTTGATTCATTTTTTTAATCATCCTAAAACTAAGGTAATATTCGCACTTATCGAGTCACTTTATTTTAATTAGAAACATTAATAAATTTCGTAAATTTATTAATGAGTTACATTCACACAAATTTACATACATATCTATTGCAGAAAAAAAACATTATTAATGTTAAACTTATTTATTTATTTAAATGTTTTTATTCATTTTCAAAGTTCCGTATTTAATAAGATTTTGTTATCTTTGAAAATTTTAGAGGCAATAAAATATATAGTAATTTGAAAATAACTTAAAACATAAAATATTAACGATAAATGTCAATGATAGAGATTGCTACAATGCCTCAAGCGCATCCGGTCCGGTGTGAGGGGCGCTGCTATCGCGGGTAATTCTCTACTACAAAATATGTCAAACTTACATGCACATAGAAAATTACACACAAACATAAGGCATGACAAGACGGCTGCAACAAGGACCCTTTTAAACATTTTTTTACATCATCAGGAGGCACTATTAAGCTACCGTTAATTAGTATGTCTTTAGACTTTGTGAACAACTTAAAATTGCTCATTCCTCTATGGTGTGTAAATCCTACTAACCTTTTGTAATTGTGCGAAAAATATCGTGGGCCAGTAGACCACCATGACGGCTCCCACCACCACGAACACTGCGCCGAAGCCCATCAGGAAGCCACTCTTCACTGCTATTGACACCATGTTGGATCTGCTCTGGGTCCTGATGAAGAACATTAAAATTAGTGCACCATTTTTTATGCTAGAAGAAAACCAAGCCAAAGATATCACTATTTTTTTAATGTAAGCTAATTATTGGAATAATTCATTTTAACAGTGGTAGACGCCAACAACATCTGTTGCAAGGATGGGCTGGCTCGACCGGGCAAATACCACGACCACACAGAAGATATTCGTGAAGTTGAGTTTCCACGTTTCGTCTGATGAGTGCGTGTTCCGGAGGCCGTAGAGTAAAAGGTGAAAAATTATTTGTTTGTACATCTCTACCACCATGGATTAAAGGTAAGCAACTCATCTGCTATTGCGGATGTCTATGGGCTGCGGTCGCTTCACCGTTTCGGCGGATTCAGGTGGCCGCTTGCTCGTTTGCCTCCTTATAATAAAAAAAACAAACAGGTCAAGGCGTGCGCTAGGTTATGGTCGACAATAGTCGAATAGCGGATTCGATTTGATTGTAACGAACAATAACAAAATATTGTATAATATTAGTCATCGTAGACGTTCGTAGACATCGATTAAAAAGCTCTACAACAGCTGACGTAGCACGGTATGCGCTATTCAAATGTTTTTGAAGGTCTTTTTTTGGAATCGAACATTTTTTTATAAAGACTACAGATATATTGATTGCAGAGTTTCTGTTCCTTCGAATATTTTATTTAATTATTTTGATTTTAAAACACTTATTAAGACTTCTTCCTGTAATAAGGTAACAATTTATTTTTAATTAAAGATATAGCTATTCACGTCTATTCCGTGCCACAGATCTTCGTATAATTTGTAACGGTAAAACATTTTATATTGTATCATATATATAAATATAACGCAAAAAACACGTTTTATAAAAAAACAAAAATTCCAAACCACTTACCTACCTTATATTTATTTGATTAAGCAAATCCGTCCGCTATCCACTCATGCGATTATACATCGAATTCTCAAGAGGAGATTTAATCTTACTAATATTATAAATGTAAATGTTTTCATGTATGGATGGGTATATTAGAAGGCATCTCCGCAGGCATAAGATAATTATCTATATTCTTATAATAAAGTTGGAGTGACGTATCGAGAAAAAAGCGCGTATTTGCGTTGCTCATTACGAAAAAAAAACTGTTTTTTTCTGCAATTTTCGAAACGAATTGACGGGACATTTTTTTATAATAGAAGGGGCCAAACGAGCAGCGGGAACACCGAGGTGTTCAACGACGCCCATGGACATCAGTAATACCAGAGGAACCGCAGATGCGTTGCCGGCCTTTGAGATGGTGATAAGCTCGCTTCTTGAAGGACCCTAAGTCGTAGCGGTTTGGAAATACCGCTGAGGACAGACCATTCCACAACGCTGCTGTGCGAGGCAGGAAGTATCGCGCAAACCGCACGGTTGTGGATTGCCAGCCATCGAGATGGTGTCGATGGAACCTGATTTTATTGGAAGGTACTTTAAATATGCGAAAATAACTAAGACTATTTATTATAAATGCTGACGAATCCAATCGTGGCAAGTGGCAAGAGCTAGTTTTATATAAAAGATAAGACGAGATTGTATTGCAGAAGAATAATAAACTCATTAGTATAATACATGCCAAAAACATATTTAAATAAGAAAATGAATTAGTTGTAAGACTTTTTGCATAGAATTAATTGAAACCGAAACCGGATCAAGATTAGTATAAAAAATTTTATTTTCTGACCGCAATAGTTATTTAAAAAAAATCAAGTTAAAAATAAAATGAGAATATAAATAAATGACCCTGGCTTAAATTACAAAGGTTTCACAACTTTATGCAATAACATGTCAAGAAATTATATTGTCAGAATATTGGCTTACAGCAGTGGTTCCCGAACTTATATTGTCCACTGCCCATTTTGAGAATAAATATTTTTTTAGCGCCCCCATATTTAATAACCACTATAACTTCAAATTAAATTAATTATTGTGACCTATATATGTATATTAACGGAGAATTCTAAACGAAACTTTTACTATAACCCGCTACTTGAGACCTGCAGCGCCCACAAGGGGGCGTTACCGCCCACTTTGGGAAAGACTGGCTTACAGCAACCATTACAAAAGGGAACCACAGATTTTCGGACAACCATTAAACAAACGACGATCCGCGAAATAATCGCAGCCCCAATAATCCAAAAAAAAGCCCAGACGGACTCTAAAACTAGTAAGTGACCGACACCGGTGTCTCATCTTACTAATCTATATATATAAAAGAATGTCGTGTTAGTTACACTATTTATAACTCAAGAACGGCTTTACCTATATGGTTGAAAATTGGTGAGGAGGTAGCTTAGAGCCAGGAGACGGACATAGGATACTATTCTTTTTTTTTCGAATTTATGCCTTGAAGAGCTGCTTTTTATTTAACTTTTCTATATATTACGTTTTTTTATATATCCACGCGGACGGAGTCGCGAGCGACAGCTAATATATTATAAAAGTGAATGTTTAGATGAATGTTTGTTTGAAAGTATCTCCAGAACAGCTGAACGGATCTCGATAAAATTTGACATTCATATAGAACGTCTGGAAGAACACATAGGCTAATAATTATGTTTTTTTACACCGCGTGGACGGATTCGCCGGCGACAACTAGTATATTTATATTGAAAAAATCTTACGAAGTTCATAGGATACACCTACACTGATTGGAATCAATTTAGAATGCAACGTTTTTTGTAACTTGTCTGCTTCTAAAACTAGATAACGGGCAATGATTATACGCATGCCACTAATTTTATTCTCCTATACCTGCTATTTAGGTTATTTAAAATTCAGATATTCATTAATTATTTATTAATATACTATATATAATCTATCTTAGGCCTTGTATACACGTGCAGAGTTAAATACGTGAGAAAAGGAAACACCTAATAGAACTACCGACTCCAGATAATTTAAACAAGTACAGACATTGTTTAAATTAACTCGCACAATATAAGCGATTATATATTAAGTTGATTGTTCCATAAACTTTTTACACTACAGGCCTATCGTTAGGCGGTAATTGTTCGTGAAACTGTTTGGGCTGGAAAATAGAATATTGTGAACAAATAGCTTCATTTTTCGTCAGATTCGGGATTCAAAATTCAAATTATTGACGATTGTCTTTTCATCATTCTCACGATGTGTTTACACTATTCTCTGTCTCGTTGAGTTTATAAGGTGATTTTTGCGTTAAAAAAAATTTCAACTGGCTGAAAATAGTCGCTCGCACGCGCGAGTCTCACCTCGTGTAAACGGTGCATTATTCACGTTTATTTCCATGTATAGTCTTTTTAGCATATATCGACGTTTTGTAGTATAATTATGTAGTTCAAGTCCATAAACTAATCAGCTTTGATCTTTTTATTAACATGTAACGATTCAGCGTGAACACGAAATTGTAGATTTTTTGTGCGCAGTTAAGCTACAGACTTGTCGAAGCGTAATTTAAATAAATATTTTCTTATCGTGAGTTTTTTGACAACATCCATTTCTAAATCAATGGAAATCAATCAAAGTTAAGTAGGATTTGACAATGGTAGAATCAGCATTAGATGCAACACGAATGGTCGGCTGGAATGGTTAAATACCACGACCAAACAGAAGACAGACGTCAACTGGAGAGTAAAGTATAGTCTCCTTCAGATGGAGAATTTTGTAGGTTAAGGGATGCATTGGAAATCTTTTTTCTATACATCCTCTTCTCTAATAAACAAAAGTTCCGAGGACGCTAGAGAAGAGTCTTAAATATGACAAAAAATAATTTTTAATTCCTTTTATGGGTGTCTAATAACAGATGATTATAATATGTAGATTTTTAATATTAGACATTTTTACAGCTATGTAAATTTTCAAATTTCAAAAATACATATATTATTAAATATAAAAGACAGGTCTTCCGCATTTTAATTACACGACACTTAATCACTGCAATAGGCACGCGCAATCATTACGCAAATAGGCACGAGCTATGACATTTACGGGTCTTTGTGAATAAAAATATTATTATTAACTTTTTTTATACCTAGAATATATTTAAATAAAATAAAAGTGAATATTATTGATGTAATCAATTTGATTTGCTTAAGTAATATTTCATTTTTTTTATATTGAATTAGCTAGCGCTTGAGCACGCTCTGATGTTAAGTGATTATGTGGTCGAAAGATGGTACGCGCTAGCTAGGAATATGGACAAAAGTAGTAACTATTCTCCTTATGTTAAGTATTCAACTTTGTCTCATGAGTTTTACAACACATCCCGTAAGAAAATATATTGTTCTTTCAGTTTCTGTTTGAAAGAAAGAGCGGGAAGACAATTTTTTTATATATTATTAGGTGGCAAACGAGCAAACGGCTACCTGGAATCGCCGAATTAGCGAAGCGACCGCTGCCCATAGCCATACGGAATTGCAGATGCGTTGCCTACCTTTAATCTAAGGAGTCGACGCACATAAAGAGAATATTTCTCATTCCTATGCGTCCCATCCTCTGTCAAATCCACTTCCCCTTTACACTGTTTTCTTATAAGTAAAGGATGGAAAGAGAAAGACTAAAATTATGCCTCCACCGCGCACACTCATCAGACTACCCGCAATTTCTTCCACTTTACATCTGTCTTTTGTGTGGTCGAGGTATCAGGCGAGCCGATGATGAGATAACTAATATCATATTACAATCTATCACCATCAGCTTATCCTACCTACCCTAAATTAGGGGTGACTAGGGCATAGTCAACAACGCTAGCCTAGTAGTTGGTTGACTTCACACTTATCTCAGATATGTGCACCTCGCGTCACGATGTTTTCCTTCACCGTAAGAGCAAGCTCATGTAGCTATCTATTTGCTGGTAAATAACTAACCTTAAATTAAAAAAAGCATTACAATAAAAACATGCAGCGCTATTTTTAAAGTATTTACGTACGTTGATTTTGAAAGTAAAGGACAACAAGACGAGGAACGAGCGTGTTTTGCAAATTATGACGCAATAACTTTACAATAAGATATAATAAAATGTAATAAGTAATAATAAACAAGAATATACTTCCACCATTCTAAAAAACAAACTTAATTACACGTCAGCTCAAACAGCCACAAGGATTCAAGCGTACTCTAAGTTAGGGGTGATTGTAACTTAGAATTTCCTTATAGACGTGTGCAGATTACGATGCTTTCCTTCACCGTAAAAACGTCTGACACATTCGTATAAGGCGGAGGTCGACCCAGACATATTTACCACTGTACAACCGACCCTCATGTTAATATGAAAGTTTGCATTTAGAATAGTTATTGGGATTCATTTTCGGAATAGTTTACAGCCAGTAGTAATTTAGATGCCACTTAAAATTTGAAGCGAAAGAAATCGCGGTTGACGATTAATT